CAGCTGCCTCAGGTCACCTGACTCCCTAAAAACCGCAGGTTGGGAGCGCTGAGATGAGGCGAGCTGGGCGTCAATCTCAGAGCCATGACGACCGTTCAGAAAACGAGGGCCTGACTGAAGGGAGTGATTTCCCATCATCTTTGGCTCTGGACACAGAAAACAGGAAGTATGAAGCTCTGTGATTGGTCAGATGAAGAGAAAGAGCAGGTTTACCCCCCACCGCCCAAGGTTAAGGGGGAGTTCTTCATTTCGACTGTCTGCCCACACAGTATCCTCTGATTGGTTAGTTTTCTCTGTAATGTTGTACGTCTTTACCTGTCAGTACGGTAAGACTTGAGGTAGCTGTTGTAATGTACCGTATTATGAATAAAGGTGAATTTAACTGAACGCACCTGAGGTCTCAGCAAGAAAGGATGTTCCTTCAGGCGGTGGCTGGAAGGCAAAGGAAGCATTTCTGTGAATCATCAGGTGTGTGCAGGGGCAGCTGGGAAATATGGTCTGCAGCAGGCAGGTGCGCGATTACCTGCAGGAAGTCATCCAGAGGATCCACAGAGAAAACCTTGGTCACTATGGAGCTCTCTCTGCCGTCACTGCAGACAAACATAAACTTTATTGATCTACACTGTGAAAACATCTGCTGCCTGTACGCACTGATGTCAGGTGACCACTCACCTGGTGACAGCCACCGCTCGGACTGTCACCCGGCCTGCAGGCAGCAGGATGGGCTGGCTGTACTTCCTGCTGCTGCCTGCTGCTCCATGATGCCCCGCCCCCGGCTTTGAACCATCCAGAGTGTAAAAGATCAGAACACCTGCAGAATCTGCACAGACACACCTGTCACATGACCTGCTGGATAGATGGATGCTGGGGGGATGAGCAGACGGTTGGTGTTCTACCTGACTGGATGGACACAGGTGTGCTCGTGTCGATGTGGTTCTTGGCTCGATGAGTCTGCAGGTGGATGATGGGAATGATGAGCGGAGCTGACACTGCCCCTGCTGCCATGACAACAACCGTCTGCCAACCAATCAGTTAGTCAATAAATCAGTTGTTCGGTTCCCTTTCAGACAGTAAGACGTCCTCGCCGGCTTTGTCCCAACATAGTTTCACTCATTCATGTTTTTACTCAGTTACTTCTGCTGAGTAGTCTCATACTGTCTCATGCATCTGTAAAATACATGGATGGAGCTGAATCTGTGTCCCAGCACAGAGAACAAACCAAAGAACCGACCGCCTGCTGCACAGAGCAGAGAACCTCATATCATAACAACAGGGGCGATAATGAACCCTCTGTACACAGAAGCCGGGCGACCAACACGCAGCACGCGTTGGTCGCTCTAGCATCGGTCCATGAAACGAGGCAGGAGCCTGATGGATACGAACGAGCGGTGTCCGACAGGAGGGCGGGGATGTCGACGTGCACCTGGGCCGCATAGGTGGTGGCTCATGTTCCTGTAGCTTTATTCTGTAGTACAGAATTCACCTGCTTGCTGCTACTACTGCACATTCACCTAATGTATAAACTATATATATATAATGTTCTTCCTCTCCCGCCCCCCCATTTTTGCACATGTCGAGGAGCGTGTCAGGTTACATTTCACCGTGTGTTATACTTCTATAACTATGCATGTGACAAATAAAGAGCTTTGAACCTGTACGGCGGTTTGCAAACACCTCCGTCAGATTTCAGGCTCTGCAGTTCTCAGCAGCTTAGTGCGGCCACATCAAACCGCTTTGGAGTGATTCCCCCACTGAACAGTCCTGATCCAGAACCTTTACTTGGAAGAACAAAGCCAGTGCTGACCCACTGCCAGGCGCTACAGCCTTTCCTGGAGGCTGGTCGCCATCCTCTGAGCTAGACCCAGCAGATGCTTGCCCGACTCTTTGTGTTGTTTGTTAAAATGATCTACCATTGATAAAAAGAGTGTAAAGTTCTAGCTGATCCACCACATTAATTTCATTTTCACATGTCGTGTAGCTTTCTGGATGTTATCCTCATTGGGCTACATACTTATTTATCATACAGACTATACAACACTGAAAATCTAAAATCACATATTTTAAGTAACCGAGATGTTTCATTATTTGGTGTAAAGCCAATTAAACAGACTATGTATATATCCACGTGTATGCTTACTGCATTTGATGTATTTAACCAAATTTAATACATATTACAGAATGAAACACCTGTGGAAAGAAACGGCTTTGATTTTGCCACCTCATCTTGTGATGTAGCATAACTTAAGCAGCAAGGAAGGTGATAAGTAAATAGCATTAGCAGACAACTGAAGTTCTTTTTAAGCATACTTTATTGCTAGCATCTCCCTTTTACCATAAAACAATCAATCAGGCATGCAAAAATCCCACTGGCTTTATACAAGACTTTGCCCACACCTGACCTCGTTCGTCCCTACCATTGAACAAAATAGGTCAAACCAAATAATACAATTCTAAACAAAGAACAGGAATAAAGTCATGCATGAAACTGACAAACTCATTTACTCAACTAAATGGTTTGTAAAGTAAAACACTGCATACAATATAACTCAAAAGGCTACTTTAAAGAAAACAAACAATACTATACAAAATGAAAAACCCTCCATTTGGTTACACCCAGTGATCCAATCATTGACCTCATGACCCTATATAAACAGGAAGTAGTGGGCGGCCCTTCCCACACACCCGTCTCACATACAGGACCTGAATGCACAACATGGACACCATGGTAAGTATAACCAAAGCAACATAAAGAAACATAATTTACTAGACATGTGCCTGTAAACAGAAGAGAATTCAGATGATCTGATGGTTAGTAGTGTTTGCTTTAAAACACATGCATGGATGTAAAGAATGTAACTACTGCTACCACAAACAAAACCCGGGATATTGTGTGTTAAGAGAAGTTACACCAGCAATGTCTAAATTAAAGCATTATGGCTGACTGTAAAATAACAGAACACAGAATAACAATATACGCAAGTGACAAATGAATTCTGTCCTAGCCACTTTGTCACACATCTGATTTCCATGCCACCCTAAGAACATGTCTTTAGATGCGCCCCTGCTCCCGGTGACCGTCTGTCTGTCTTCTCATCTGTCGTCTCCAAACATCACAGCGGGTCTCACAGCCTTCTACATCAGGCCAGACACTCGTCTCCACCACCCGTGACCCAGTGGGACATGCAAGTTACTGGTGTGAGTCCTCTGAGAGGACTGAGGTGTTAACATCTCAGGTTTCTGGGAGGGTTTCCTGTTTTCCTGAAGGTTTACCTGAACAAAGCCTGTGATTGGTCCCCGTGTCTTTACCGTCTCTTTGTTAGTTTGACTGAAGCTGCTCTTACTTTCAAGACTTCAAGACTTCAAGGTTCTTTATTTGTCACATGCATAGTTATACAAGTATAACACACAGTGAAATGTAGCCTGACACTAGGGTTGCCAACTCCCTGAAAAATAAATAAGGGACACCTCGTGGCCAGGGCCGGGCGACCCAGTTGTCTTCACCCTTCCCAGTGTGGTGAATTTTCTAGCTCTTTTTTTTGTGTGTGAAATTATTTTTTTAACCATTTGACTTGAAGTTGATTTAAGTAGATGTGTATTCTATTCTTTGTGATATGAACACATGTGAAACAAATGATCATTTAGCCATTTATTTTTAGCTCAAAATGACAACATTAACACAATAAAACAGGTCTCTTTCTTAAACAGAAGCCTGTCATGCTTAACTTTTGAGAATATAAGTAAATCTTTCTTTAAAAGCACTCTGTCCTGCTTAACTTAAAATAATAGAAAACAATAGAACGAAATCATTCTTGTAACAGTGCACATATAGTGCATTTAGTACAATTGGCTTCAGTTGAAATATTATTTCAGCTTTTCTGATGCTAATCAGCTGCTCCTGTTTGTAAACCCGCTTGTTCCCATGATTACGCATCTTAACTCATCATTATTCATCTATGTATTACTTTTATGTATTAGTCATCTATTTGTTGTAATCATCTATCCTTGCAGTTGTTTATTACACAAAATAAATTATATTATCACACTTCTGGCCACATAGCGCTGATATTCACTGCACATGCCCATATTAACTTTTTCCAGCCAGGTGTTTTCCTTTTCCCATTCTTCCCTTTCTCTGAGGGGAACAAACATTGCTGCTCTAATGCTGGGCTCACACTGTGCGGTTTTAGGCCCATTTTGAGCCGATTTTTGAGTGATCGGACCGATTTTGGCCTTCATCGTGCGTCGTGTAGTATACGTGGGGTAACGAGAAGTGATTAACACCTCACGACCAGCTCCCGATCATCAATCGCTCGTGAGGTTCTCACCACAGCCGCTCACACTGCTCGCGCGCAAACACGTAAACGTCGGTGAAAAAGACGGAGCAGCACAGCTGTGCAGCGTGTGATCTGGACACAAGTGATGGAGGCACAACTTGTAGAACTTTGGAAAGCTCATCTGAGCCTTTTCGATGTGGCCTCACAAAATGATCACGACCACAACAACCGTGAAAATAGTTGGATTTACATGCTGCTCAATCACAGCTGCCTGATGAGTGTTTTTCATTAGCAATTTAGCAAAGTTGATGGTGGTGGTGTGTCTGTGTGAGTGTAAGACGGAGAGAGAGAGAGTGACAGATTTTCTGTTATAACCTTCATGTTATGGAGGCACAGTTTCCGTATTTTAAGGGACGGTTGGCAACCCTACCTGACACGCTCCTCGACATGTGCAAAAATTGGGGGGGGTGTAGAGGAAGAACATTATATCTATCTACATATAGTATATACACTGGGTGAATGTGCAGTAGCAGCAGTAGCAGCAAGCAGGTGGTTTTTTCTGAGCCTTTGAATGGGGCCGGTTCTGGTTCGATGAACTGCGTATGGCCGGGACACGCCGGTAAATAAAAACAAACAGAGACAGTGTTCTTACCTGGATGAAGGCCCAGGTGATCACCGGGACTGCTGCCGAGTTTACCGGAGTGTCACCATAGCAACGGGCTCTGTCCGCGGGGACGCTTGTTTTAAACGCCTAAACGACAGAGGTGGGCGGTGCTGCCAGTTGTAGTTGTAGTACCCGCCCACCAGTTAGAAACGTACCCTTTAAAGTTTACATTGGTGAAAAATGACCGTAAAATTTAAAGTCATATATTTCTATATGTGATATATTTTATAAATCACCGGGACAAGCTGCTGTACGTCATCGTCACAGGAACAGAGGCCGCCGGCCTAATACTGAAAAAGACCAGTCAAATAAATTTATTTAAATAAAATTAAGCAAAGAAAGAAAGAAATACTGTGACACAGTCAGGCCGGGTATCTATGCTTAAACACAAACAAAAGATCGGGATCTGACCGCGGTGTGTTTTTTAATCAGGCGGATTTCAGGACGCTTCCGGTCGCTTGGGACACGGAAGGACCCCAGCGTGTGCTCGCAGTCAGTCACAATATTAGCTCACAGGCTAACTTAGTAACAGCCCCGCGCAGGCAGGAAGCACTGGAGATGGCTGAGGTGAAGGTGAAGAAGGAGACGAACCTGTCGGACCCCGTGGAGGTCGAGAACAGGTGAGGGGAGGAGCGGGGCCGGCGGGCCGCTCTGTCCGCACACCGGACTCCGGACGAATACTGTCGCAATTATCGCCTGTACGGTTCTGCTCGCGCACACAGCGCCTGCGTGCAGGTCATGAACGCGCGTTCACACTGCCCCGCACTGCTGGTCACTTCGGCGTTAATCAGAGTCATCAGCTGGCGTCGCACGACCAACATCTGGACATGTTCTGGTCTTTAATGGCGCCTCTGAGCTAAAGTTTGTGCCTGCTGCTCTTCATGTGCAGCCTGAGCAGCCGAGACAGCAGGCGCAGAAAACGATTAAAACTCAGAGTTTAAACAGAAACAGGTTTACTGTGATTTTTACCTGGTGTGTGCGTACGTGTGCGTGTGTTTCAGGATCAAAGAGCTGTGTCATCAGTTCCCTCAAGGTATCACGGACCAGGTGATTCAGAACGACATGCCTCACCTGGAGCCACAGCAGAGAGCCATGGCCATCAACAAGCTGCTCTCATTGGTCAGTCTGATGATTTCACTCACCTCCAGAGCGTGAGGAGAATGGCGCTCTTTTTCACTCTGTGTGCTGAGCGGGCAGCAGGTTGATGAGGTGGTGTTTGTTTCAGGGTCAGCTGGACCTGCTGAGGAACAGTGCAGGTCTCCTGTACAGACTGAAGGACTCACAGAGCACCAGGTAAACACACACACAGGTGTAGGAGTGTACTTCCTGTCAGGTGATTGCTGGTGTCTGAGCTGCTTCCTGTCTGTTCTGTCTCAGTAAAATGAAGGGCTCAGACAACCAGGAGAAGCTGGTCTATCAGATCATCGAGGACGCAGGAAACAAAGGTAACTGAGTACTTCCTGTCCCCGTTTGGCTCGCTGCCGTGGCGCGCCGTGACGTCTGCATCTCTCTGCAGGAATCTGGAGCCGAGACATCCGCTTCAAGAGCAACCTGCCTCTGACCGAGATCAACAAGATCCTGAAGAACCTGGAGAGCAAGAAGCTCATCAAAGCTGTGAAGTCTGTGGCCGTGAGTCCGTCACGATCAATAATGGCTGTATCAGCCTTATCGCTGATCAATAATCAATAACATTAGCTGCTGAAAGAGTAAACGTTTATTTAAATATGTGCAGAAAAATCAGCTTAAAATGTGGAAAAATTAAAAAAACTTTAAATTCTAATTGTATATATTTTACAGATGTTTACAACAAACATCTGTAAAATATGTAAATCAGCAAAAATCTGGAAACTATAAAACAGTTTGGAAATAAACACATATAAGTAAATAAAAATTAAAGACGCGACGTCTCCGTGCGTTTCCTGTAAACAAACGCTGACTTGACGATGTCATACTTCCTCTCCGCTGGCGTGTTTGTGCAGGCGTCGAAGAAGAAGGTGTACATGTTGTACAACCTGCAGCCCGACCGCTCTGTGACGGGCGGCGCCTGGTACAGCGACCAGGACTTTGAGTCCGAGTTCGTGGAGGTTCTCAACCAGCAGTGCTTCAAGTTCCTGCAGAGCAAGGTACAATAAACTTTATTTCATTGTCCAAACGGCGCCCAGCAGGAGGAGGCAGAGCGGCGCTCTGAGGCGGGAATAGGGCGGGGCGGCCTTCTTTCCTGTCTCAGAGCTGTATGAACCGTCATGTGACCCTCGTTGTGTTTCCTGCGTCGAGGCGGAGGCGGCGCGGGACAACAAGCAGAGTCCGATGGTTCAGAGGAACAGCTCCTTCGCCACGTCGCACGAAGTCTGGAAGTACATCTGCGAGCTGGGCATCAGCAAGGTGACGTCACACCTCAGACGCACAAATCACAGCACAGCGTTAACCTGCAGACAGCTACACACACACACATTAGAAACACATTAGAAGCAGCTGGGCGCAGATGCTCAGGCAGGTGAGCGTTACCTGAGGAGGCGGGAGCGTAGACTTTATACCTCATCCTGCGTGTAAACAGTCCCCTGGACTCAGGCTAATGACCCGGGTCCAGGTGTTTAAGGCGGGGTTTAGTTGATCTTTGGCCAATCTGCTTTCCTGGTCAGGTGAATGAAAGCGACCATGAGACGAGGTGAAAGGGCGGGGTCGACAGCACGGACCTATTTATCTGTGCGTGTGAATCTGGTCTGCGTGCTTTCCTCAGGTGGACCTGTCTATGGACGACATTGAGACCATCCTGAACACGCTCATCTACGACGGGAAGGTGGAGATGACCGTGATCGCCGCCAAGGAGGGCACGGTGGGCAGCGTGGACGGGCAGATGAAGCTGTACCGTGGCGTGAACACCATCATCCAGCCCACCGGCCTTGTCAAGACGCCCTGTGGACTCTGCCCGGTAACGCGCTCCGTCCACATGTACCCAGGGCCGCTCTCAGGGCACCCGAACTCATCCCGTCTCCTCTCCGCAGGTGTTCGACGACTGCCACGAGGGCGGAGAGATCTCGCCATCCAACTGCATCTACATGAGCGAGTGGTTGGACTTCTGACGCCACGCGTTTCTCTGTGACAGAAGCTTCACTTCCTGTTCGTCACAGACGTGAAGAAGCTGGCGGCCTTAGTTCCTGTGACGATGGCGTGCAGCAGTGTGTCCCGGTTCTGGTTCTGGAGGCGCAATGTTTGTTTTCTGGAGCTGCTTCACTGTTTCTGTTTGACATCGTTAATCTTTGAGGTCGTCTTATTGGTCCCGTCATGGTCACATGGTCTCAGATGTTTTGGTATAATGCCGCTCCCACCTGCAAACGCTCTGTAGTACAACCGCATTTTTGTGTGTGTGTGTGTGTGTGTGTGTGTGTGTGTGTGTGTGTGTGTGTGTGTGTGTGTGTGCTCCAGTGTCCTGATTATAAAATGATTTAGAAGGAAAATAATTTTTCTTTGTTGGAACCAGTTTTTGACCACCAGGTGGTGCTGTGGTTGCTATGCAGTGAGGCAAACACCTGCAGCCAATCAGAGCCGTTTCTGGTTGTTTGAGCTGAAGGGAACATGTGGACGTTTCCACCTTCATGTTTAAAGTTTTGGCCCTGGCTGCTGGTTTCAGGGACGAGGCGGGGGGAACGGCCCTGAGCGCGGGCTGTCAGGCCGCGGTCTCTGGGAGGGAGAGCAGCGGTCACATTGGCCTGGACCTCCTCAGTTCTGGTTCTGAAGAGCACCAGAGGACTCTGATGAAGCGCTCTGACATTCAATCTGTTCTGTGATTATTTTGGTCCACGAGTGTCGTGATTTGGTGTATGAATAAAGTGGGTGGAGACTTAGCCGTGTGGCGTTTACTGTCTGTCTCTGCGTGGTTTTCTTTGAATCTCTGAGGAGGTCACGGAGCTCTCAGCCTGTGGGAGCGCTAATGGGCCTCACGGTGAATCGATGTGGAGACGGTCAGCACTCAGATTATCTCTCTTATTGTCTGATGCACTCTGTGTGTTTGTCCAATCGCAGCCCACCATGTTTTCCATTAGATGCCATTAAGCTCCATCAGGCCGTAATGGGCTCGGCGCTGAGTGTCAGCACGGATCACGTTACACAACATGTTTCATATCTGATATATTCATAGCTCAGCGAGAGACGCTGTGAAGGAGGAGTCCAAATACTGCATTACCCATGAGCCTCAGCTGCCAGTAACTGTCACAGACCGTGTTATTCACATAATGTCATTAAAATGCTCCAGAAGGCTCCAGCAGGACAAACGTGAACCAGAGGTGCAGTTCAGGTGATGGTGCACCTGTCAGTCACAGAGGCCACGCCCCTAACATTGCAAACAGGTGCATGGTTGCATGATTTGGTACAGGTGTGAAGGTAGAAATTCTTTGCATCAGCCGTAAATGTGCCGTTAACATGGGAGTCTATGAGGACTGACTCACTGCTGCCTCTGCTGCACACTAGAGGAACTGCAGGCTTGGAGGGTTCTGTTTCATTCATTCATTTATTATAAACTACAAAGTTTAATGTGTGCAACGTGAATACATACAGAGATTTATTAGAGCACGTGCCATAAAAACTGTAAAACACGGATATTTAACAGGATGTGTCATCGTTTATTTAGCAAATGTTTTTATCCTCATTAAAACTCATGTTTGTGTTCGGGACTCGTGTCAGAAAGTAATGTGGCCTCTTAATCAGTAATAACAACAATAATAGTAACTATAACAATATTAGTAATAATAATAAATAACAGTAATAACAACAATAATAGTAACTGTCTGTGGAATAAAGAGGCTCCGACTCGGATCAACTGAAGCTGCTGCTGCTCTCTGCGGCCTGCAGGGGGCGCGCTGCAGGCGGACCCGAAGCCCAGAATCAGACCCGAACCCTCTGAGCGGGGGGAGGGGGCAGTGCGGATTCTTTCCCGTCATCCCCTGCGGCAGCAGCAGGAGCAGCAGCCCCCGCCACCTCCTCTGTGCTCTCCGGTCTGCAGACTCTTCCTCACCTCCGCTGAAGTTTGGAGTGTCGCTCCGACCCTGAGCAGGTAAGCAGCGTCCTG